AGGGCGAGCTCCTACCAGCCACGTCACTTCCCTAATGGTGCCATCTTATACCCCACTTCCTTTAAAAGAAAAGGTATTCCCACCAACATTCATAGAGCCATTTACTTTCTCTTTTTATTACATAAGAACTTCCAAAAGGAGTCATGGACTAAAACACACCCATCTCATGGCAGGCTTCTCAAGCTATCACCGCAGGGCAGGGAGATAGCTACCCCTCCTCAAACTCACAATTAAAATGCCTCAAAGGCCAGAATTTCCATGCATTTGGAGAACTAAACAGAAACATGCAGCTGCCTACCAGAACAGTCTTTCACAGCTGAGAAGGCAACCAAGGACATGGATGCTCATTTAAGCCCTCCGAGGCTACTGTCAGCAAGGCTGCTGCTCAGAGCCAACTCATCCTCCAGGTAGCAACACAGAGCAGCACCCCCAGGTTCTGCCCCCCACCCACGCCGTGGTTTTCAAACCCTCCAGCTCCTGTCTACAGCAGGGCTGGGAGTCTCTCTCAGCCTACTCCCAGGGCAAAGCATCAGAACGCTGCCAGTCCCATTTACGGCACTCACGTTTCCTAGGAAAAGCCCTCCCAATGACACGGTCACTCTGTTCAGCCAGCTGGCAGTAGCTATACTGTGGCCTTTACTTCCCTTAAACTGAAGGTGTGCTTGTTTTTGACTATACGACAAACTCTCTTTTTTATTATTTATCTCTGGGAGTTTGGATCCTTACGTTAATGGACCTACTGTGTGCATGTATTATCATGTAAGTGATCACAAATCATGTTAGATAGAAACTGTAAGTTTTTTCTTAAAGCAATACTAGTATCCTAGCCTATAAAGTAAAAACAACTACCTAATAGGACTGATTCAAGAGCATAATGAATGTACAGCATCTAACACAGTACCCTGAATATAGCAGGTGTTCAATAAATGAGAGATCTGATTTGACTTAACTAACATCAGTACATTATTATTTCATGGCCAAAGCAGCATTATTGATATTACCATACCAAGAATTTCTAATCAATTTATAATGTATGACATATTTGATTGCAAACTGGATTGGATCCAGTTTACAATACCAAATAAATTATGTTTGACTATATTGCAAGGCTATAGTAACCAAAACAGCATGTTATTGGTACAAAAATAGAGATATAGACCAATGGAACAGAACAGAGAATCCACATATAAAACCATCTACTTACAACCAATTGATCTTTGACAAGGCAGACAATAATGTACACTGGGGAAAAGAAGCCCAATTCAATAAATGGTGCTGGGAAAATTGGATAGCCACATGTAGAAGAATGAAACAAGACCACTACTTCTCACAAAAATTAAGTTAAGATGGTTAAAAGATATAAATATAAGGTATTAAACCATAAGAATTCTAAAGGAAAATGTAAGAAAAAAATCCTCTAGACATTGGCTTAGTTCACCAAGACCTCAATGGCAATTGTGGCAACAACAAAAATTAATAAGTGGAATTTGATAAAACTAAAAGCTTCTGCACAGCTAAGGAAACAATCAACAGAGCAAATAGCCTACAGAATGGGAGAAGGTATTCTTAAGCTACATAGCCAATAGAGGGCTAATAACGAGAATTTACAAAGAACTCAAGCAAATCAGCAAGAAATAAACAGACAACCCTACTAAAGAGTGGGCAAAGACATGAACAGAAGCTTCTCAAAAGATAGACAAATGGCCAATAAACATATGAAAAACTGTTCAGCATCAGCAATCATCAGGGAAATGCAAATTAAAACCATAATGAGATATCGCCTTACTCCAGTCAGAATGGTTTTTATTAAAAAGTCCAAAAACAATGGATGCTGGTGTGGATGCAGGGAAGGAACACTTATTCACTGTTGGTGGGACTTCAAATTAGTACAACCCCTATGAAAAACAATACATAATTCCTCAAAGAACTAAAAGTAGACCTACCATTCAATCCACCAATGCACTATTGGACATTTACCCAAAGGAAAAGACGACTTTGCATTAAAAAGACACCTGTACTTGAATGTTTATAGTCGCACAAATCACAATTGCAAATATGTGCAACCCAAGTGTCCATCAATTCATGAGTGAATTAATAAAATGCGGTATATGTATACTTCAGAGTACTATTCAGCCATAAAAAAGACAAATTATTAATAATACCTTTTGCAACAATCTGGATGGAACTGGATACCATTCTCCTAAGTGAAGTATCTCAAGAATGGAAAAACAAATACCACATGTACTCACTATTAAGTTGGAACTAACCGACGAGCACACATGTGCACAGAGGGAAGTAAAACTCAGTGGAAATCAACCAAGGGGGTAGGGCTAAGAGAGGAGGGGCAAAAACCTACCTAATGGGTACCATGAACACTAGGTGGGTGATGGGCACACCTATAACCAGGACTCAAGCATTACAAAAGCGATCCATGTAATCAAAAACATTGTGCCCCCTTAATGTTTTCAAATTAAAAAATAAATTATGTTGAAATATTAAAAATAGAACTATGCATACAAAGAGACACTAGAAAGAGAAGAGGCAGGAAGTATAATTCCAGGATGCAGAGGAGTTAATTGCTGAAAATGAGCCCTAAATTTAGCTTTGTGTTTTCTGACAGCCAAAGCAGAAACAAAATTATGTTAATTTATGCAACCCATTGTTTGATTAAATGGGATCGAATTCATACAGGAAGGGAATTTTTCTCCTCATATTCAGATCTAAGGGTAGCTGCTCACACACATACATACCCACCCATCAGAGGGATGTTTCACTCTATCAGTATTCATCATAAGGGGCTGGTAGGTGAGCCACTTGGGGACTTTCTTAACATATGCTAAAGAATATGGAGGTAAACTGCTGTACTCTATTCCAAAATATGGAAGGGCTTTCAGGTTTAGTGTCTGTGAAGTAGCTTGGCCAGTGGCTTTGCTCAGAGTGCAGGCTGGTCTTAGTCTTTTCAAGCAGCCCATACAGCCTGGCCCCTGCTCTGAGCCCAGTGACCAGAGGGTCCTATGGCTTCATCCTTGGGTAATCCGCTTCCCAACACTTGCAAATAATCAGAGACGACAGACTCCCCTGGGAAAACCATAATCACCCACCAAGGGGGAGGGTCAAATACTAGCAGGATTTATTGGCTTTAATTAACAATAAAGTGTTTGTTTTTGTAGGTAATTAGAGTTCAGTAGGAAGCTATAAAGAGTCCTCCAAGAAATTCCAAATAGACTGTAGCTAAAGGGTAGTAAGGTATGACTCAATCTAACCATTCTTCTTCGCAGACATTCTGTGCTAAGAAGCTTAGTGTTTGATGCAGCACAATTGAATAGGTCTTCAGGGAGAAAATGGCCCTCTGTGTTCTTAACATCTACAGAGAAAAAAACCTCCATGCAGCATGTGTGTTCACATGCGTGTGCAAACAGCACTTTGGCACGTGCCATGCTCCTGGATGCTGCTATGGGCTATTGCAGTTGATGTAACGGTAGCTCAAATCATCTTATTTAAATTGACTATTCAAAGGTCCATAACTACCTGCATGCTGGTGAATACTACAACAGCTCTGTGCCCTTACAACCCATTAGGCAGTTGCTTCCTCAGTACTCTGACTGGCTGGTCGGTCCTTCGAAGGTAGAAAGATGTTTGCAGAATCCATTTTGATTCATGCTTTTTTCCCCCCAGGAAATCCTTCTTGGGCACAGGTTCTTAACAACTCAGAGGTGTTAAGACAAATTTGATCGTACCTAATTTTTGAAATAGTGTTGGCAAAATGTTGTCACCAATATTTCAAAAATAGTATCAAGATGAAAGAGCTGTGTGCTTAGTAACAATTGCTCATTTTGTTTCACAAAGCCCTGGATCGATAACGCGATTTCCTCCCCAATCCTAGGAAATAAACATAACATTATTTCTTCTACTCTCTGTGCCCACGTCATGATATCTCATGGGTACAGAAAAGCCAAATACCAAACTCATCTCAAGGAGTGGAAAAAATTAAAATGAGACCAGATAAACAAAACAAAAAGTAAAGCCACAGATACGGAAAATAGTAGAGGAAACAACTGCTTCATACTTCTTTACATTGTTCTTACTCTTGCAAAAGTTCAAGTTAACAGTTAAAGGCCACAGACACCTTCCTGCCTACCTCTAGGTCATTAGAAAACTCTTGCAATAATTTATCCCCCAAGAATGAGATTCCCATTTAATTATGTTCTATGCAATCCAATATAAATTTTCCCACTGTTTTGCATGTCCGGGCCTCCTTGACTGAACGTTTTTTGAAGTTCTTAAGCAGTCACATCACCATTTTTCCTTCAGAGAAACATAAAACACACACGTACTCCAGGATCAAGAGCAAACCCTCAGCCCACGGTTCCAGAGGCAGCTGGCCTTCTACAGGTGACCGCGACCTTGGGCTGACCACTCAACCTCTCTGACCCTCCGTTTCCTCATCTGAAAAAAATGAGGAGGTTGCCACAGATTCTCCCTGAGGCATTTGTGGGCTCTAAGGTTCTATGGTTATTTCATCCTAAAGGGAAGAATTTCCATGTGCTGTTCACTGTGGAAAATCAAGACACTGAATTCTACATCCAGAAAGCTGGACTTTGTTTGGAACTGCCTGAAAAGAAAAAGTCAACAGTGCAAAGATAAGTCCCATTATTGGAATGATAAACTTAGAGTCAATCAGAGATCCTGCTCATCTGGGAAAGGAAATACAACTAAATAAGACACTCGGAGAAAAGCCTCTTCCCTTTACTGTATTGGCTTTAAGAACAGACATGAACATGAAACTAACGTTTCTGCTCTCCAAGCCAGGCTGTTCAGGGATCTCGCCAGTTCCCTGCAAGGCTGCAACGCTGGCTCACTGGCCTGGGGCCTTCGTTGTGCTGGCAGCAAAGGCATAGAGCAGCATTGTTTTAAAACTCACAGAATTCAAGCAAAAAAAAAAAAAAATGTGTATTCAAAAAGGAATTTAAAGAAGCAGAACGGCAGAGTCTGATACTTACTTGTGGCCCAGCTCATGCGCGATGGTGAAGGCCAAGTTGAGACCATTGTCTTCGGCGAGCACACACTTCCTCTTAGCACTGCACACGCCTCCCAAGTAAGCAATTCCTGCAGCAGAGACACAAAACACATTCTCTTGAGAACACGGGAGGCCCTGACGTCACTGGGCAAGTCTGCATGGTTAACATCACGTACGGTCAAGACAGGGGCAAAACTGGGGCTCTGCAGACCCCGGGATTGGACCTGTTAGTCCGGGACTCACGTGGGATGGGTTTGTGTATGATGTTTTTGTGTTCACCCAATAACACTAATAGCCACAAACGTCTACCAAGCATTTAATATGTGCCAGGTGGTATGCTGAGCAGTTTACACACCTCATCCAATTTAATCCTCATTACCCAAGATGAGGCAAAGTGAGGTTCAGAGAGGAAAGGAAACTTTCCCCCAGAGTCACCAGGATTGGCACCCAGTGCTGGGATCCTACACCAGATCCATCCAAATTTAGCACCCAGGGGCAGGACCAGGTGAGGCCAGCCAGGCCAGGTGCCCAGTGTGCAAAGTTTAAGGAGGCTCTCTCTCTCAGGAGCTGCCTCTGCGCTTGCAAGCCCCTGAGAGAAAGTGCCTCCTTAAATTTTGCACCATGGGCCCCTTTTGCCTCACCCTCTCAGGGCATGAGCTTGGATCTGTGCTGGAGCGTACAGAGAACAGGTGTGCAGAATGTTCCAGGAGTCCTTGGGAAAGAGAGCACAACCTGGACCCAAAGGGAGTGGAGCCCATGCTGGGAGTGCCAGGGCCCGGAAGTCATCAGTGAGGATGAACCTGAGGGCTGACAGCCTCACCTCGGCACACAGGCACTTGTACCTAAGGACCTCACCCAAAGACGGGAAAACCCAACTGGCACACGCCAGGAGGAACATGGCACAGGCAGTGGTGTGAGCAACAGGCTACACGCTGGAGGGCAGGAGTTGCTGGTGGAGATGGGATGCTGGAGGAGGGATGGGAGTTCTTGGGGGAAGAGAAGCTGTTCTGACAGAGGGATGTGTGTGAACGACCCAGGGGCCTTGGATGACCGGCCATCTGGGGAGTGCTGGGCAGTCAGTCTCAGCAGGGGTGCGGACAGTGAGCCCACACTGGCCACACCTCTGGGGGCTGACTCTCCAGGGCTCCCTACTGTTCTCCACGCTTGCGCTCTCCCTGCACCCGGAGTAGACATCCCTCGCCACCCAGGCCCCTCAGGGCTTATCTCAACAGGGCCCGCTAGGAAGCCTGTCCTCTGCCCTCCCATTGGCATCTGACCTCTGAGGACAGCTCCTCAACATGCCCCCGTGTGACGCACGACAGATGGGGGTGTGGGGTGCCTGGAGGAAGAGGCTTGGTGCTCCTGCACCGTGAGGTCACGCTGCACGTGGCAAGGGCGGTGGCTCTGCCGCTCGGTGCCATGCAGCAGAGGCTGGCCACGGGGCAGATGGAGGCTAACCCCACCTGGACTCCGTGCAGCAGCGCCGTGTCCTGGGCTGCGGCCACCCAAGGAAGGGGTGCCTGCTCTCCACCCCTGGCACTGTCCACCCACCAAGCCGCTTACTGCTCCATTCCAAGAGCTTCTTCCACTCACTTGCACAAAGTGTCTCAGAAGGGAAGGAATTAGCAAAGAGCAGAGGATAACAGGGCAGGGGAAACTACTTCATTTAAAGGACCCCTCCCTGCCTGCTCCCAAAGAGCTGCCCCAACATCCTCTCCGCCGACATCAAAATCAAACCAAACTGGTGTAGAGCTCAGCCACGCACAGGCCTCCCTCCCGGTCGCCTCGCGAGGCTCAGAGGACGCTCTCGGGGCATCGCCCTCCAGACAGACCCAGCTCCGGGGCTCACATTCCGCACACTGAGCCCGGGTACCACACCCCGGGTCTATTTTTATTTGGAGACATGTAGAGTGCTTGGCCAAGGTTAAAAAGGTTTTTTAAAAAAAGAAATGTTATTTGGCCTCAAGATGCCTTTTTTTGGCACATAGACATCATAATTCAGCAATGCAGATTGTTGGAACAACACGACAACCAGAAAGGGTGAGATCTGGCTTCTCAGTGCCTTCAAGGTCATTATTCTGGTTTCATTTAGAAATGCTTCGAGGGTTGCTGCATAAAAGCCCACCGGTAGGCAGGCGGAATGCGGCTGCATTGGCCCGATGGCATGCACACCTAGCGCTCAGACACGCACCGGGCAGGGCCTGCCCAGCCCTGGCCGCAGTCTCTCTGGGTCAATGAATCAACTAGAAACAATCAGATGTGCACGCCTGGAGAAGTCGCCTGGGGAGGGGGGAGGGAGGCATAATAAGGCCAGATGTGCTGAGCTTGCCATCCCGAGCACGAGCACGCCGGCTGCGTGCGGGCCCTGCTGCTGAACCAGCAGACCTTAAATGCCACAGGGACACCTCCCCTGGCCTCGCCGCACCGTGCACCAGGACGGGGGCAGCCCTGACTTTTCGTCCTAATTAGGTAGCATGCAATGCTAGGGAAACAGCGAAGCAAAGACCTTTCCAATAACTGCATTTTAATTTTTCCAAGGCGCAGAGGATTTTTTTTTTTAATTAGAAAACAAAGAATCAGTTTATTTACAAGAAATGCTCTCTCCCAAAGGCGGATTAAGGTCTAATGGTTCTAATGCCTTTAACGATTTATTCCAATCGTGCCCAGCTTGGTCATAAAACCAAGCAAGGAAAACACATAAAAGAAAATAGCTCCCGATAACAGGGCACGAGAGCGGTGTGAGTTTATGAGGGACGGTGTGGAAATGCTTAGAATGCACAAAACAAAGTCTGGAGAAAATCCCAGGTTGTTGTAAAAAGTAAGAGCTGCGGGGCGGGGGTGGCGTGGGAGGAATAAATGGTAATTAAGCCATCCGGCTTTGGTACAAAACAAAGCCCACCACTATTCCGTGTTTCTAGAAAGGAACTTCAGTCTGGGGAAGAGGGAGCGCTGGAGACCCAGAGATAGCACCCCAGGCTGCAGAAGGCGCCAACCTGGAAAAACCCACCAAATCCCCCTGTCAGAGCTTGTCAAGAAATGAGGAAAAACCAGTTTCTATTGATTTATTTAAAAAAATGAAGTCTGTGACAGAGTTCTGCTAACTTCAGTGTTGATGTTGTGGAACCAACCAGCCCTTCCTATGTGACTGGGATTCCCTTACACTAAAGCGAGGGTTTCTCAGATCCTAAAGTGGTGCTTTCTATGGTTTCAGCCTTTTGTGATTTAAAATTCTCCACAAATCATGTAACTTACTTAAAAAAACCACATCAATTCCACATGTTCGCACAGCTCCTTGGAACAAAAGGGAAGCAGAAAGGCAACTGGAATTTATTAGTTGTGCTACTCCACGGGCACGAGTGCTCTGATGCCCAGCCTTCCCTTACTTGGCAGGTGTTAATGGCCCCATTTTACAGATGGGGAAACAGAGGCCCAGTATCCAGTTTCATGGTTAAATCAGAACCCAAACTAGGATACAAATGCAGGCCTCTCTGCCTCCCATCCCATGTTGCTTGAGGCAAACCCTGGCCTCCCTCACCAAGGCTTTGGTAACCAAAAACAATGAATAATCTTTGAGAATTTAGAGGATTTTCATAAATCCTAATGTGTGTGCATGTTGGAGATGTTCATGGAAAAGCGTGAAGGTTTCACACATTTCGGTCCAAATGTTTTTAAGTCTAAAGATAAAAAGACCCGAGAGATATGTACAATATTAACAGCAGTGACCCTGTAGGACACAGTGAGGGAATTAGGGATCTTTTAAATTTCCTCTTTTGGTTTAAACTGAATACAATTAATATGCATGTGGCTATGAAAATTAAAATTGATTATATGTAATTTATCCATCTAGAGCAGGGGCAGAGGTGGGAGATCAAATAAGACAAAACCACCCTCTGGATTTTAACTGCACAGCCCTTCAGGCAGCAGATGACGCAGGAAGTTGACAGTCAACAAACACAGGACCAAGTGTGTGCTTATATCCTAACCTCGGCACAGACTCGGGAAGCAAAACACACTTAAAAATCTGAACTGCCTAGGGTGGAAACGAAGGGCTGTCACAAGTTCTCCTGACACCTGGAGCAGCTCGCCGAATTCACCTAGAGAAGGGGTCACGTCCACCAGAGCCCTGTGACCAGCTGAACATGAACATGCTCTCGTCTCCCTTTTCTTTTTCTTGGGAAGAGCACAATTATGTAGAGGAAATCCGATGAGAAGGCCTAATTATTTTATTTTTCGGTAGAAAACTACATGCTCTAAGCCTGTAATTCTTAAGCTCTTAAACTCAGGATTGACCACTGATCCTCTCTAGGTTTAAGGAGTAAACAACACAGAACCGCATAAACTCTGGTCTACCCAGTGCATTGTTGCACGTAAGCAGTTTGCAGCTGTTGGCCTCACTGCCAAGTGCTCAAAGCCCCGGCACTGCCATGGTCATCCCTGGGACAGCACGCTGCAATCATGAGAGCGCACACGGCAACCACATATGTGGAGACTGAGTCACATCCAGGCTCGTCGGCAAGTCCTCGTGTGCTCGAAAACCCTGCTATGTGGTTTTAGGTGTGAACTGAATTTGTGAACAGTATTTAAGAGCAAATGTCTTACGGTCTAGCAGGTGACAAAAGAAAAGTAACTACAGTCGATTCTTGTTATTTGTGGTAATTGGGTTCTAGGAAGTCACTGGGAACCCTTCTCTAATGCATGTGCGTCCTCTGTCAGGCACACCATAGCTGTCCTGCATTTAGGAACAGTGGACTTCAACACTGTGCTTGGGGGCCATGTCAAACAGTGACATCACCAAGAAGAAGCACAAAAATGTGAAAAATGTGGCCCTAAATACACCGTGAAAAGGCCACTTGTTTACAGTATGAGATTTGAAACAAGAAAGCAGAGAGTGGCCTTGTTCAACCTCAGCTGGGAACGTGCCTGTCTGATGACTTAAATTTTTCAGCACACTGCACATATTTGCAAAGGACTGCCAAAGCACCTTGAGAATTGATTTTGGAATTACAAATCCATTGCAGCAAGTAAGCAAAATCACAAGTGCAAATACAAATAGACTGTATTTTTAAAAATTATGCTCTGTCATCAAGCA